CCGTCGACCGATCTCTCTCTCTCCATAAAAAAATAGCATGCATGCCCAGTACTAGGAGTGGTATATTGTTTATTCGATCTATTTGTTATTTTAGCATGCATGCTAAGATTATTTATCCGTACACATGACATGTACTGGCTTTATCACAAAATAGAAATCATTCTCGTTTTCTGATAAATTAATATTTTTTTTAACTTTGACTAATTATATATAAAAAATATTAATATTTATAATACATAATTAGTATTATTAGATAAATCATTGAATATACTTTCATAATAAACTTATTTAGAGATATAAATATTACATGTATTTTCTATCAACCTAGTTAAAATTAAGAAAGTTTAACCAAAACCTTCAAGTATGTGCAGGAGCAAGAGTTTCTAGAGAAGGCGGACGAGGAGCTGGAGAAGGTGAACAAGTTCTACGCGGCGCAGGAGGCGGACATGCTGGCGCGCGGCGACGCCCTCATCGAGCAGCTCCGCATCCTGGCCGACGTCAAGCGCATCCTCGCCGACCACGCCGCGGCGCCCCGGCGCGGGCGCGCGCGGCTCGCCCGGACGGCCTCGTCGCCGCCGTCCGTGAACGGGTCCAACAGCGGCCGCCACCTCCTCTCCTCCCCCTTCGTGGCCTCGCCGCAGTCCATGTCAGGTAGGTGAGGTGGACCGACCAAAACCGCAGCCACGTCATGTCTGCACTGCACGTCAAAGCTGCAGGCACACATGAACCCCACCGGTCGATGGATCGATCGGCCGTCGCCTTTACGTGCTCGCATGCATGCCCGCACGTGACCTGACTGCTGACAGATCGGCATTCTCGCAGACGGGAGCGTGGAGATGCAGCAGGCGCGCGTGGCGGAGGGCGCGGCGGTGGCGGAGGAGGTGATGGCGGCGCTGGAGCGCAACGGCGTCAGCTTCGTGGGCGGCGGACTGGGCAAGGCCAAGAAGGACGGCAGCGGGAAGCAGCTCATGGGCCGCGCCGCGCTGCTGCAGCTGACGGCCACGGTGCGCATCGACATCCCGCCCACCAGCCCCGGCCGGGCGGCGCTCAAGGTGTGGGAGGAGCTCGTCAACGTGCTCCGCAAGGACGGCGCCGACCCCGCCGCCGCCTTCGTCCACCGCAAGAAGGTCCAGCACGCCGAGAAGAACATCCGCGACGCCTTCCTCGCCCTCTACCGCGGCCTCGAACTCCTCAAGAAGTTCAGGTATATGTATATATGTTTGGATGTTTGTCTCTCTTTCTCTTCAGTTGCACGAGCAAACTCGATCGCTCCAACGTATAGGCAGCTGCAAGAGTGTCTGTCGTCACGTCACTTGCATGTTCAGTTCATCTCACTACACGTCACTCTCAACACTTGCTCTGCTCTGTTGCTATTGGATCCATGCAAGTTTCCAAATTTGAGCCAGTTTGAAACTTTGAATGCATGGAGGGAAGCATGTGACTGTGAAGTGAGTGAACCACGTACTACACCGGAGCCATGCTCTACTGCACATTTTACTAAACCTGTCCCTTTCTCCTATTGTTAATTCTAGCAAGTGTAGTTTATGATATGTTATTATTAGACCTGTCCTTTTCTCATGTTGTTAATTCTGGGACCTTTTGTTGTGCGGTTATGGATTGATAAGCCTTTTTTGTTTCATTTTGGGTGGCGTATCTGTGTGGATGGACGGATGCAGTTCTCTCAATGTAAAGGCATTCACCAAAATACTGAAGAAATTCGTCAAGGTGCGTACTGCGCTCTGCTCAACTAGCTAGGCATCATCATGTATGCCATATATATGTGTTCTTTTGAAACGGATGGAATACAGGAGAGAACAAACTCCACAATAGGCAGAATAAAGGGAACTGGTACATTACTAAACACATGTACAGGAATATAGATAGATGCATCCCTTATTAAAAGAAAAAAAAACTACTGCAAATTTTGTAAACATAAAACATTTGTACCAAGAATTCAGATAACAACTTAAATAGCCCGATATTTTAGTAGCATATCATGATTTGTACCAAGAATTCTGATGCCACACGCTGTGTTTGTGTGTGCTTCAGTTTTGCTACCCACAAATGACAAGAAATTCATTCTCTGCATTCCATTCCAGGTGTCGGAGCAGCAGCGGACAACTGACCTGTTTTCTGAGAAGGTGAAGAGGTCGCCGTTCAGCAGCTCTGACAAGGTACCATACATCCAAGATCCTACTGAAATCTGACGAGCATGCTACACTTATCTGAAGAAAGCTAGTAGTATCTGAAGAAGGAATTTATTTTACCTGGTCTGGTCGAGCAGGTGCTTCAGCTGGCAGACGAGGTGGAGTCCATCTTCTTGAGGCATTTCGCGGGCAACGACAGGAAGGTGGCCATGAAGTACCTCAAGCCGCAGCAGCCCAGGAACACCCACATGATCACCTTCCTCGTAGGCGAGTCGCCGCCCTAGCTTACAAGACTGAGTTGACAGATATATGGGATTGTATTTTCTCAGTCTGGTGGAGTTGCTCATACTGTTCTTTTTTGTGAGTGGTTTCAGGCTTGTTCACAGGCACATTTGTGTCCTTATTCATCATATATTCAGTTCTAGCCCATGTCGCCGGCATTTTCTCTTCTACCGGAAACACAGCCTACATGGAGATTGTTTACCATGTCTTCAGGCAATTTCTGAATCCAACTCTTCAGGCTTTAGGATGTACGTACAATATTACCTCCAAGTAACATTGCTGACGGCCTTTGCTTCTGCAGTGTGTTTGCACTCATCAGCCTGCACGTCTTCCTGTATGGGTGCAACCTCTTCATGTGGAAGAGCACCAGGATCAACCACAACTTCATATTCGATTTCTCCTCCAGCACCGCCCTGACGCACCGGGACGCCTTCCTCATGTCGGCATCCATCATGTGCACCGTCGTCGCAGCGCTGGTCATCAACCTGTTCCTCAGGAACGCTGGGGCAACCTACGCCAACGCACTGCCCGGGGCACTTCTGCTTGTAAGCAACACAGGCCATTTGGAGAATCTGTTTTGCTGTAACACACACAAGTTGTACTGATTTCAGTCCTCCACAACCCTCTGCCTCTGTTTCAGATGTCAGCAGGGGTTCTGTTCTGCCCATTCAATATTTTCTACCGCTCGACGCGCTACTGTTTCATGCGTGTCATGCGCAACATCATACTCTCTCCATTCTACAAGGTAAGGGCCAAGGAATTTAGAGGAACACTGTCTGTGTGTTGGAAACATCTATCTGATCTACCAGGATGCCTTGTAATGCAGGTTCTGATGGCAGATTTCTTCATGGCTGACCAGCTAACCAGCCAGGTAAACTGATCTGCAGTATACTAGACATGGAGCATTATAGTGCAGGTTCTCATGAGTTCAGGTGTCTTATTTTCCAGATCCCACTGTTAAGACACCTCGAGTTCACAGGGTGCTACTTCATGGCTGGAACTTTTAGAACTCACGCGTATGGAAGCTGTACCAGCAGCTCTCAATACAAAAACCTGGCATATGTGCTTTCCTTCCTGCCATACTACTGGAGAGCGATGCAGGTATACATTGAATCTAGTGATGTACTATAACATTTAGCAATTTGTTCAGAGTAATTCAAACTAAATGTTCTGCTGCTATGTGGTAGTGTTTGAGAAGGTACCTGGAAGAAGGTCATGATCTCAACCAGCTTGCTAATGCGGGCAAGTACGTATCAGCAATGGTAGCAGCTGCTGTTAGGTTCAAGTATGCTGCGACACCGACACCATTCTGGATGTGGATGGTCATAATATCATCTACAGGCGCCACCATTTACCAGCTCTACTGGGATTTTGTCATGGACTGGGGCTTCTTAAACCCAAAATCTAAGAACTTTTGGCTCCGAGATCAACTCATCCTGAAGAATAAGTCAGTCTACTATGCTTCCATGGTACTATACATTGTTCACCTATTTTTCAATACTACTGAACTGATTTAGGGAATTCCAAGTTCAGTAGCGCTAAGTCGCTAACGCCTTTACAACACAGATGCTCAACCTTGTGCTGCGCCTAGCCTGGGCACAGAGTGTAATGAAACTCCATCTTGGTATGGTGGAGTCTCGCTTGCTGGATTTCTCACTCGCTTCGCTGGAAATTATCCGACGAGGGCATTGGAACTTCTACAGGTAATTGGGTGGGTGGGAGAATTAGTAGAAAGCTGCAAACACTAGTCCCAATTTCGATGTTTGGCTATAACTTGATGCATATTGATCGTATTGCAGGCTGGAGAATGAACACTTAACCAACGCAGGAAAGTTTAGAGCAGTGAAGACTGTCCCATTACCATTCCGTGAACTTGAAACTGATTGATGAAGACAAAGAACTTGCCAGCATGTTCCCAGTATGAAAGGAATTTAGGGGGGGGCAGAAGAGTTCCAGGAATGGTGAATGGATACACTGTCCCTGCTAGTGCTTGCACAAGAATTGGCGTCTAAGTGGTAATAAAAAAATCAGAGAGCATAACTGCACAAGACCAAGACGTTGCAGATTTTAAGATGGAATAAGCTCAGACGGTGCATTGTAGATGAGGCGCCAGGGTACAACATGAGACATTCTGGTCAGGAAAGATGATGTGGATTTACTTACTGGTCGATTGAGAATTGTTGCATGTTAATTGACTAACAAGATCTTAATTTTGTAAATCATTAAGTTACGAATGTATCTGGGAATTGATGACTGAAAAATATTGCATGAAAACATATGGTCGTCAAGCAGAATTTGAACCATGTTTCCATAAATAGTGTTTCAACCGAGAGCCGAGAAAGAACATAAAAACATGCGAAGCACAAAATAATAAAAAAAGGTACACAAGAGAGAGAATAATTTATAATTGCAGGGGTAAAAACTAGATAATATCTGCCAATACAGTGAAAGCAAGATGCTTGACACGGCAGATGACACCACACCACATGTGAAGCATAAATAAAGTACATATATTACATGACACACATTGACACATTGCACACAAATAAGCATTAAATAGCTAGCTACAGCCTACAAGTACCTCCAATGTGCTGGACGATCTCTTGAGACAAGAAGAACCCTTGATGATGAATAATCAAATGTAGGACAGTACAAATCATCAGGGCCAATAGCTTCTCTCACTCCAATGGTGTTTCCACGGTCAAAGCTGTAGGTTGGCTGCATGTCTTCCTTAAATGTGTCTAAGGCAAACAGCCCCATACCACATGCAGCCAAGACAAGATTTGAGTCACCCCATACCTGGGTTATTGCAGAGTGATGGATATGAGCGTTGAATTCTGGTAACTCATAGGTGGCGACAAGTTTCCCCTTTCTCAACGAGTATTGCTGAACTCGTGATCTCAACCCTCCTTTTATTTGCAGCCTTCCTTCTGTGCTACCGATAAATACTACGTCTCCACGTGAGAAGATTGAGTTTGCTGTGCCACCATGTCTTGCTATTTTAAGCCCAATGCCAGCAGGTACACGAAAATCAAATACATTAACACTTTCCTGTGTGCTGAAAACACCATCATTTCCTTCCACCTCAGATGAACTAACCCTGCAAAAACACACACACACACACACACACAAACAGGTGTTAAATGATTTGACCAGGGCAGATGTCACAGAATATATTTTTATACATCTCTTTCAGATAATCAGATACTTCATCAACAGCAAGACGAGATATTAAAAGCTGTTGATACTAAAAAGAAGAAAAATTTCGAGTTTCAATAGCATAAGCTGAGGTAAACTTGATAGGGTCTTTAATACACCTAATACTTGGTGCATTCGATGTAATGTAAGGTTTACTGATTTACCTTTGACGCACTCCACCGCCCACCTCAGCATCAGTGTTATTCACATGAAGGCAGTACACTTTCTTACCAGAAGCAACAGACAACAAGGGTTGTGGGTTAAGTGAATTCACATCCCACAACCCTATTGATTCGCTCCCAGAAATTACTACTTTCCCCCTGCTACGCCATTGTAGTGGGCTGGAGTATTCCATTCCCATTACTGGATTGCTAACTTCCCATTTCATCACAAGATCGCCATCACGTATATCATAAGCTGTGACCATCTTTTGCTTGCTAGCAGTAGAAAGCAGGAGAGGTCCGCACGGTTTATACCACCATTGCTGCCTTTCTGAATTTGACAGCGCGGAGTTGGATCTTGATGAACCTACATTAGAGAGAGCACCAAGAATAGCCCTGGATGTTGGAGCAAAAGCTTGAGAAGCTTCCTCCTCAACATGAAATGATTTTACTTCTCTGGTATAGTAATCCCAGCTGCAAAACCCAGGCTCCAGTGCATTCCCAGCTGATGCAGCAACAACATATCTGCCAGAACATCCGTCTACACCTGGGGCACGAATCAACCAGCAATCACCCCACATATTATTCGATACCATGCTGGGAGGCTTATACTCAGATTTGAACTGCATCAGTTCAGTTGAAAACAGTGAGCACTCAGGGTATCTAACAAAATGTCAATTAAAAATGAAAACAGAGCAAATGTAGGTAGAAAATAACCAAATACCTCATGGTTTGCAATGTCATAATAGGAGCATGTGCCATCTCCATGAGCAAGAAGAACAGCTTCCCCCTCTGAAACAAACCATCCACCAGTTGAAGACTTGTTTCCTATACCTGATAACTGACTATTGCATGACTCCTCAGTTTCTTCCTGTAACATCATGGAGGACTTGTTTTCCTGATCATCAAATTCTTCTAGCTCCTCTGTAGCAAGCAATTCAATTTCCTCCTTATGATTGGGACCAACTGGATTCTTTGAGCTACCTTGACTTGATGTCTTGCCGGTAGCATCTGCTACTTCACATATCTTATTCTTTTCCAATTTCTTAGCTCGACGATCCTTGAAGAAATCATTTTCTTCACCATCTAAAGAAGCCAGAAACTCCATGGCTATACCGTTCTCATCATCGTCAGGGTTAGATGCAGCAGGTCTTGTTTTTCCATTACAATCTTTCTTCATATCCACAGATGACTCCTGTTGAGTAGAAGTCGAAGATATGCGACCCCTCAACAATTTGTGGTGTGGAAAGAACCTTGCCTCCAGCTCATCAGCATTCAAGCCTTTTCCAGCTTGCTTCAGGTCACCTGGCTTTGTAATGGTACATTTTTCAGCTGTTTCAGGGTGAGAGCTCTCACATTCACTGCTATCTGCAGTACCCAGCTGTATCTTATTATCATCCTTGACATGAGAAATTGCCTTCTCAATGGCAGTGATTTCCTTCTGAATATTTGACAAGATCTGCTTTGGCTCGTCCGGGTTGTTCTCATCGAGCATTTCTTTGGTTTTCTTGATATCGGTAGCAATCTTCTGAACCCTCCCTTCCAGTGCAGCTAGTTTCTCATGAAGTTTGCTTGGGTACCTGTTCATAGCAGACACGGGTTTTGCTGACCCTCCATCCCCACCTGCAGCCACTTTCTCAAAAACTCTTATCCTGTCTGCCAATTTTCCCTTTTCTTCCTGCTTCATGCCCTCTTCATTATTCTTTTGCTGTTTCCTTATTGGATCAGGGACAAGATTTGAATCCTCCACATGGACAGTGAAAACAGGGATGACAGAAGTGTTGCCTATCTCATCATCCTTCTGGGTGGCACAACATTCCACGGATTTGGAAGAAGCTTCTCCTGAATCAGCTTTTTTGGTATGCATCTCCTTCACCAATTTATTGGGCCCCTCTTTCTTCATATTGATTTCTTCACCTGCCTTTGCCTTCGAATCAGAGCCCTCTCTTCGCCCACCAACATCTTCGCATTGCTTCTTCATATTACTCACGAATGCATCTGTTTTCCCTTTGATCTCATCACATTGCTTCGACACATTCACACCAAAGCTCTCTCTTTTCCCACCGATCTGCTTGGCCTTTGCATCAAAGCTCTCCCTTTTCCTGCCAACCTCACCAGTCTGCTTCCCCTTGGCATCAAGGTCATCTCTTCTCCTGCTGATCTCACTCAGCCCCTTGGCCTTCGCATCAAACCTCTCCCTTCTGCCAGTGTCATCACCACCAGCGCCAGCGCTCCCTCTCCTAGCCTCCGAGGCCCTGGATCCAACAACACTAACCGACCTCCTCCCTTTGTCTACAGAAGAAGCCCTGATCCCACCACTGACGCTCCGTCGCAAGCCTGCCTCAACCACGGGATCCTTACCGATGGAAGGCCTCCCCGGCAGCACGGGAGCCCTGAGGCTGGAGACGAGCTTGGAGGAGTCCACCGAGCTTTGGATCCTGCTGGCCCGCGGGAGCGACGACGTGGACCACCGCACGGCCGAGGTGGGCTTGGACGGCTTGGACGCGGTGTTCTCCTTCCCGCCGCCGCCGGCGGCGGCGGCGGTCGTCCGCCGGGCGGATGACGAGATGGAGAAGGGCTTAGGGGTGAGCGGGCGGGTTGCCGCGGCCGTGGCGCTGCCGCCGCCGCGATCCTTGAGGCGGGAGGACATAGCGGGAGGCGATGCAGGGCTAGGGTTTGGGGGGATCGGGGGAGATGGGACAAGAGGAAAGGTCGCTTTGATTTGGATTTGGGAATGGTTGATCGATTTGAGATTTAGGGGAAGGGGTGTTTCAAATTTCGAAATCGTTTGAGCGGGAGGCTTTAAGGTGGGCCCGTGGTGCTGGGCCCAGCTGCAGTTCATGAGGTAGCCCCACATGGAAGGGACAGCTAGACCACTTTATTTTTGTCAGAAGACAGAGGAGAATATGGGACAAATGACAAATCTCATTTTGCATTACCAAGTTCCAAGTGGTCTACCACTAAACTATTTGTCTGTGATGAAAAATAGGATTCTTTAGTTCGTTGATATTTAATTTAACTAAATGAATGAAACTAATCATAATATAAAAATGAACAAAAGAAATTAGTGCGTTATTGTTTTGGCGCAAGGAATGAATATGAGCATGTGTCGATCCACTATTAGTCTAGTACTAACAATTAATCCTTTCGTTCTAAATTAGAAGTACAAGATATTTTGGTTTTACAAGATACATTACTTTTATTAAATATCTAGACATATATATCTAAGTATATATTAAAGTTAGAAAAGCTAAGACGTCGTATAATCTGGAATGAATGTAGCTGATGATGATTTAAATAGGTCTACTAAGACCCTGTTTGGGTCAATATAGATAGGGCTAATAGTTAGAGCAATCTCCAATAATATTTCTAAATGTCACTCTCTAAATCATTAATTAGAGGGTCATTCGCATAAAAATCGATTTCTATATCTTTTCATTTTCCAACAGTTTTTCTATATCTCGTGCACACTCTAGAGAGCCATTCTCGTCTTCTATTTTTTGCTAGCGAAAAATCCGAAATAGAATATGGTTATATTTGGATAACCGTTTAGAGAAGTTGTTGGAGGCTAGTTTTTTACCAAAATCTTAATTCCTAGCATTTAGAAAGGATATAGAGAGTTTCTAGAAGATACTCTTAGATGTTAATAATTAGCTTCTTGATCCAAACAGATCTAACTAATAATTTAGACCAAACTAGCTAATAGCAGCTAATATTAGATATAAACTATTAGCTAGCTAACTATTAGCACCTAATGGATCTAAACAAGACCAAATAAAACCTACTAACCATTAGCTATGAAAGTGCAATTAAGCTCTAATTGTGGATTTTGGTTATAATGACCACGCAATTAGAGAACTAATGAGATTTATCGAGATGACTAGCAGGGAATTTATATTCAAGGATGCTACTGAAAGGTCCTAATATGGCTAGAGCAGAGGTGAATAGCCTATTTAAGAATCTACAAATCAACTAGAGCAATTTGATTAGTATGACAAATAGCGTAATGCAAACTTGCTCTAGCTCTACAAGGGTTGCAAGCCACCTATCCAACAACTCTAGTTGCAATGATTACTTAGGCACATAAACTTGCTATGTAATTACCCACTAAGAGCTCTCAATATTGCTACTCTAAAGAGCTCAACTAGATGAATGTAAATAATAAAGCAAGCTTCCAATTCTAATTACACTAAAGAGCTTGTATTAACTAGTTTGCAAGAATGTAAATAAGTGAGTAGGGTGATTATACCGACGTGTAGGGGATGAACCAATCACGAAATGAATATATAGCCAATCACCAGGAGAATGCCAAAGACAAGAGACAATTAATTTTCTTCCAAGGTTCACGTGCTTGCCAACACGCTACGTCCCCGTTGTGTCGACCAACACTTGGTGGTTCGGCGGCTAAGAGGTGTTTCACAAACCTCGTCCACACGATAGGACACCGCAAGAACCGACCCACAAGTGAGGTAACTCAATGACACGAGCAATTTACTAGAGTTACCTTTCGGCACTCCGCCGGGAAGGTACAACTCCCCTTACAATCACCGGAGATGGCCACGAACAATCACCAACTCATGCCAATCCTCCACCGCTGCTCCAACCGTCTAGGTGGTGGCAACCACCAAGAGAAACAACCGAAATTCACAGCGCAACACGAATACCAAGTGCCTCTAGATGCAATCACTCAAGCAACGCACTTGGATTCTCTCCCAATCTCACAATGATGATGGATCAATGATGGAGATGAGTGGGAGGACTTTGGCTAAGCTCACAAGGTTGCTATGTCAATGAAAATGTGCAAGAGTGTGAGCTTGAGCCGGCCATGGGGCTATAAATAGAGCCTCAAAGAAATAGAGTCGTTGTACCCCTTCACTGGGCTGAACACGGGCCGACTGGACGCTCCGGTCAAATTGACCGGACGCTGGACCTCAGTGTCCGGTCGTGCGATGAGCGCCACGAGTCATTGGCTTCAAACGTCGATCGCCCGATTTCAACGGCTACGTAGTTGACCGGACGCTCCGGTAAAACTGACCGAACGCTGAAGCCCCAGCGTCCGGTCGTTTCCAGTAAGCTCCCCGAGGCGTATTTCTTCGACCGGACGCGTCCGATCCACCTTGACCGAACACAGATCAGCGTCCGGTGCAATACCCTCGGTACTGCGCAGACCCGTCAGTTTGACCGGACACACGCTGTTAGGGTCCGGTGCTTTCAGACCCAGCGTCCGGTCAGTAGACCGACGCCAGCGTCTTCGCGATCAACTTGTTTTCACTTCTAACTTCTTCACCCTTGCTCCAATGTGCCAACCATAAGAATTTGCATCCAGCGCAACAGAGAGGGAGCCAAACCCATCTCAACCCTACAAACACCACCTCCTTTGTAAATGTGCCAACACCACCAAGTGTATCACCTTGTGCACAAGTGTTAGCATATTTTCACAAACATTTTCAAGGGTGTTAGCACTCCACTAGATTCTAAATGCATATGCAATGAGTTAGAGCATCTAGTGGCACTTTGATAACCGCATTCTGATACGAGTCTCACCCCTCTTAATAGTACAGCTATCAATCCTAAATGTGATCACACTCTCTAAGTGTCTTGATCACCAAAACAAAATAGCTCATATGGTTTATACCTTTGCCTTGAGCTTTTTGTTTTTCTCTTTCTTCTTTCCAAGTCCAAGCACTTGATCATCATCATGCTATGATCTTCATTTGCTTCATCACTTGGAGTGTGCTACCTATCTCATGATCACTTGATAAACTAGGTTAGCACTTAGTGTTTCATCAATTTACCAAAACCAAACTAGAGCTTTCAGCTACACGAAATGGAGGAGCCCCCAATTACAAATATAGTTGGCTTCAAACTCAAAAGAGGTTTAAGATTCTTTTATATCTTGAATTTGAGTATAGAAAAAATCATACTATAAAGGGGGACACAATGATTAAACTAATATGTGCTACCAAGTGCTCAAACAACCACAAGCATCCTCAGATTCATGGCTAAGACAGTCTGCACTTCACTATTACCCTTGCTGTCTTGCGTGGGTGCGAGCTCCGTCTCATCCGACCCCTTGGGTGCGGGATCCGACTCGCCCGACCCCTTGGTCGCGGGCTCCGTCTCGCCCAACCCCTTGGGTGTGGGATCCGGCTCGCCCGACCCCTTGGGTGTGGGTTCCGTCTCGCCCGACCCCTTAGGTGCGGGATCCGGCTCGCTCGACCCCTTGGGTGCGGGATCTGTCTCGCGCCGACCCCTTGGGTGCGGGATCCGATTTGCCCGACCCCTTGGTCGCGGGATCCATCTCGCCCGACCTCGAGGCCACGGGCTTCGTCTCGGCCGACCCTTTGGTTGCGGTGTCCGTTGGGCGCTGGGAGTATATATACCTTTCCCTTTCCTCGCCAACGGCTATCTATGATTTAAAGTGACCGTTGGGGGCTGTGGTATATATCTTTCCCTTTGCTTCCCAACGGTAACCAACCTGCTCTCTTCTTTCTCACTTCAGCACGCCCAAAACAGAGCAGGAGCTCTCTCTCTCTCTCACACTCCATTGTTGACCTCAAGCCCCTAAGCAAATCCATTGATTTTCACATCAATCCTTGAGGGAAAGGGTACAAAACTTGATTAGAGAGCATCTCTAGTGATTCCCAAACTCTAAAGAGCACTTGGTTCACGTTTTTGTCGGCGGTTGTGTTTGTTACTCTTGGAGCTTGGCTCCTAGCCAGCTAGAGCGTCGCCCGTGGAGCTTGCCAACTTGTGTGGCAGCCCTGAGAGGTTTGTAACCATCTCTCAAAGCTAGTAAACTCACCCCTCATCTCAAGAGTTAAGTCTCTTGACTTGAGAACGATGAAGAGTTAGAAAGCTCTAAGCCTTAGTGGCTAACCTCAATGATGTGGAGGTAGGCAAGCCTTAGTGGCGAGCCGAACCACGGGATAAATCATTGTGTCACTTGTGTTTGATTTACATTACTTGCATGACATATTGTTGGTGAGGTGATTTCTAGAGTTTGAGGCTGATCTACTTGTGTGTGATGTTCCCACCACTTTTCAGCTGTTGATCTGTGATCTACTACCCTGTAGGAAGCTAAAAATATACTCGATCTAAATTTCGTTGGGTAGATTTTGAATTGTGAACTAATCTCTCCTGCAGGTGTGGCAGTGCCACGCTCACAGAGCGGCAGTGCCGCGGGTGAATTGGACTTCGGTTTGAGTTGAATTTTTACAGGCCTATTCACCCCCTCTAGGCGTATCAGAGATCCTACAAGCTACATAGTTATTAAGGCGTCGCCTAGGCATCCGGGCGATTTTTGAAGCTGGGCGTCGGACTCGCAATGACCTTCGGTTGTATGTCGTCCCCTTGCGCCGGAAGGCGTCACCTAGGCACGATTGGGCATCCAGGCGGACGTCGCACAAGAGCAGATGAGCATGCAGGGGGCGGGAAACAGAGAGAAAGAGGTGGGAGGAAGAGGCGTGCGCGTGGCCGGGCAGGAGAGTTGCGCGCGTAGGGAAAGAGGCGCATGAAGCGGAGTATATCAGCCCACGTGGGGGGAAGGAAAGAGGTCGCGCGGGGGAAAGGAAAGAGGCCACGTGAACCTGGACTCCCTGTTGGTGGCGCGTTGCCTCCTTCCATCAATCTACGAAATCTCCCTCTTCTTCGATGACTCCTCCCTAATTCGTGCCTCCCCGTCCGCTGGCCTGCAAGCCCACGTCACACGGGTATGAGGAGCCGTCCCTGATTCGTGCCTCCCCGTCCTCTTCCTCTTTCGATGTCCCTTCCTACTCTCCTGCACCTCTGTTGTGTTCTATTCTCTTCTGCTTGCTCTGTTCTACTATCCTTTACTTCTTGTGCTTAGATGCGCTTTTGCTCTGTTCTACTCTGAGCCTCTGCTCTGCTTCTTGTTGCTTGCTCCTGAATTGGCTCTAGAATTGGCAGCAGAAAGGTATATATAAATGCATGTGTTGTGCCGTCCTATGGAAGGTTAGTGTATGTGTATGACGTCGCCTCGCCGCGCGCCTAATTTGCTTAGGCGTCTGGAAGGGGGTGGATCGCCGCACCTCGCCTTACCGCCTTAAAAACTATGATTAGCTAACAATTACTACCTCCATCTTGCAATGAGTGTTAGCGATGGCAACGGGGCGGGTTCGGGGCGGATATTCGCGGGTCGGGTTCGGGTTCGAGTTAGATTTTCTCCCCACGGTTTTTGGGTTTGGGGGTCCAAAATTTATCAGATTCGGTTTGGGGTTTCGGTTGTCACCCGCGGATGCCCGATGGATGTCCGAAATAGACATTTTGAATAAAGAACTTATCTGTTTTTATTAATAAATTGTTTTTATAAGCTATTAAAATTGTTCTAAGCTGAGTCATTAAATTGTGTGTTGTTTATTGCCTCTTGTTTATACATGTAAATATGTAATATATATCATGCATATGTTGCTAAAAATTCCTTATTATTTTTTCTGTATTGCCATGTAGCGGTGGGTTTCGGGGATCCGCCGGGTTTGGTTTTGGGTTTGGATTATCACCCGAACCGGTGTTCGGGGTGGTTTCAGGTTCGGGTCCGCGAAGGCTCGATCCGATCTGAATCCGCTCCGTCGCCATTCTTATTATGAGTGATCCTTGGGTTTGTCCCAAGTCAAAGCACGTTATCTTTGACCAAGTTAAAAAAAAGATTATCAATATTTATGATACCAAATAGGTTTGCTATAAAAATATATTTTATGATGAATTTAATGATATTTATTTGGTACCATAATATTGATATTTGTTTATACAAACTTGGTTAAACTTAAGATTATTTTTTTGCGAAAAAATTTAAGATTGTTTGACTTAGAACAAAACCAAAATGACACTTTTTGTGAGATGGAGATACTAGTTCATCAGTAAGTTTAGGAAAGCTAATACTCCTTCCATCCCAAATTGTAAGACGTTTGACTTTTTTTGCTCCAAGTTTGACCACTCGTCTTATTCAAAAAATTTGTGCAAATATAGTCAAATTTAAGTCATTCTTGAAGAATTTTTATTAATAAACCAAACCACGACGAAAGAAGTGATATTTTACACAAATTTTTGAATAAGACGAGTGGTCAAACTTAATGTCAAAAAAGTCAAACGTCTTACAATTTGGAATGGATTAAGTACATGTTAATAGTTCATATACACTTCAAACAACTATCCAACCACCCATTAATATTTAACGGTTGGATCCAATAGCCTTTGCTAACTTAGCACGAGTGGATCTAAATGGATCCTAATAAATAGACAATGCACGAAAACGAGTTAAGTGTGTGTACGTGTATGAGTATTAGTAGCGGTATTTAAACCTTCTAAAAAAGCCAGGACTCTCTCCACCTCCAGTTTTCTAAAAAAAAAAATCATGGAAGAAGAAGAAGAGAAGTTCGAAGAACCAACTCATCATTTTGAGTGGGTCAAGCATCCCTAAGTGCTTCTTAGTGATAAAAATTGCCTGCGTGGGGTAGAACCAGAAGAGATATATGGAAGTGGACATGTTGCAGTCAAAATCTATAAACCGAGATCCGAGGGCAAACTGCGATCGTGTCACCATCATCAACCAATCAGTGGTTGATCGAGCTCGAGCACCATCTACCTTTGCCAGTTGACCAGTGCGGCTCTAAACCGTTATATTTCCACATTGCTATGTAGTAGTAGTTGCTTAACCGTAACTACCCATTAAGGGCATTGCTTAGAACACGGGAATTTTTCCCGGTTCCTGCGTTTTTCCAATGGAACTGAAACAGATTCCTATAAAATTCAAGCCCTGAAGACTAGCGATACAGTACAGTGCCATCGACGACAAGTAGATTGCCTTGGAAACAAATCATGGGAAAATATCAAAATACACTGTTGTTACACATCAGCAGAAACTCAGAGCAGAACACTATAAACAGGAGAAATGGAAGCAGCAAACAGCAGCAGAAAGAGTGAACAAACAAGCATGTGCATTGAGCTTCCTCTTTGCGAGAAAATCGCTGCATATTGGTAATCTTCCATACAACAGGGGGAGAGGAACACTACAGTCCCCTCAAACACATTTTTTCAACAACGACAGGGCCGTATCATCATCTGTCAAACATACATCCAGCAAGATGAAAAACGGAGGGGGACAAAAATAGCGCTGACTGAATTACAGATTAGTGGGGGTATAAGCCATCTGTACGTTCTCAAGGAGATTCGACTCCGATCCATTGCCACGCCACGGGGGGTGCTCCAGGCACAACATCAATCTGCCTCGGGCGTGCAGCTGCCATCAACAGCTAACATCTTAAGAATACAAAGACAACTTACTATGCTGGTGAAAACGTGGTGGTTTATTCCTCGAAGCCATCCATCATGGGGTGGTGGTGGCCTCCTTCCGAAGTGTTCTTTGAGGACTGTTTTCGGGCTGTGCCCCGCCTGCTCTTGGCTTTCTTTGCCTTCATCCTCCGCTTCTTCTCAGTGGCATCAACCCAGGTGTAGTCCGACGGTATGTGGAACGGATCGACCTCATCTTTCCAGTTCCGGCTATCACCACTGTCAGTGGATTGCATACCTCGGCCACCCTTTACCCATGAATACCATGAGCCTGATCCTTCTGATTCTTTGGCTTTCGCATCCTGAAATTGTGTCGGGCTTGAAGGTGGGGTGGCAAACTCGTCTACAGGCTGTAGTTCTTCGAACTTTGTGAATGTCACGATGACTCGTATCGTTGGAACAATTGGGATGGCAATCTGAAATAAGACACTACAGAAAGTCAGAGGCCACTATGCAAAAATTGGTATTAACGCTGAGTACGTGCAAGAACAGCTTTCATGAGAGCACCACGCATCTTCCCCGTGAAAAGTGAGATTTTGAAAGAAATATACACAGCCGAAATGGGTGCTCCTACAAGGTAAGCCATACTTCCACTTAAACCTAAAGGAACACCCAACACCTATGGTTCTTTTCCACTAATCCATGCTCACTTCAATCAATCATAAATCATACAACCCATCCTGTGGCATGTCTCAATTAAAATATCGGTACATCCCAAATATATAAAAAAACGCATTGATTGGCAAATTGGAAATAAAACTTGGCTTCGCATCAAAATGCAAAAGAAACAGCAAGAGTTGCAGATAAAATTCACAATTTCATCAAAATAGACTAGGAATAAATAGCATCACTCATAGTTGTCCTGGATTAATAAACATTTTCAGGAAAGAGTGGGTAGGAAATGTTGTTGTGAGACACATCATCAACTAACTTCAGAGTGCAATGGTCAGTAGGAGCAGTGGGTCATTAGTTTTCTGGTGGTTTGAAGTAGGACCCAGCTAATCAAGACTTGAATGGAGAAAGAGACAGTGGGTGAGTGATAGGGTGGCTCAAGAAAGTTTTGAAAAATGAAAACCCCAACACGGAAACACATCTTTTTGGCAGCTTCTGAAATCTGCAAGATTATTGACATGGATGGTGGGAGCAACCACCCTGCTAGCCACAGTTCAAGGATTTAAAGTTGATTAACAAAAATAGCAATGATGCGACAACCAGATAAAAAGGGCAAGATAGTTCACACAAGATTCTATGACTCAATGCTGTACCATATACATCAGAAATGGCATACAATTAAAGTGGATAAGTTGTAAAGATGCCCACATTGGAAAAACCATTAGATGTGGGTATGGCATGTGGGCACTGAAGCCATGCGTCGAAGAGACACTGATGGCTTTTTTCCAAGTTGGTTGAATACTGCGATGGTACTTTCCAAATTTAACTTTTATCATGTCCATTTTAACACAAACTTTTATCATGTCCATTTTAACACATACAAATTTTCAATTTCCCCTTATTCCAGAAGGGATCATGGCCAACAGTATTAGTAGCTTAAAAGCAAAGTTTTGCTTCTTAACTATCTATGGATCCTATGCGACCAAAGAAAATATGGTAAAGTGACATTATATTTTCTTATGACTGTATCCATGTTAGTGAACAGGTGGGCACCACATCTTATGATTGTGTCCTTGTTAGTGCAAATAATTGATTACCAGGAAGACACCACATAAGATGCACCAGTTCTATAACATGAAGTATGCTTTCTTAAAGTTCAAACAAACACAATGTTTCTTATTAAAAAAATAGTTCCAAGAAAAAGGAAACATGACTAACCAAACATCATTGTAGGAATTGGGGAAGGAAGTGTTCGCAGTAGAGATCCAAACAACACGATGGACAAGATATTAACCAAAGTCAATAAGGATAAGAGCACACACAACGGATGCAACCAACAATGGCATCTCAAGCAACAAGCATGCAGTATTATACTAACTTGCTACCCTTACAGGGCAAATGATTGTTAGATGTGGTAAGAAACTTGATTCAGATTTGACAGAATATCTTAACTAGCAAAGAAACATAGTTGTCCGTCGAGAAATAATTGGTATGCGATTTGATTGGAATAAATGGCAAGATGTAATATGCTGGAAGCACGGGTAATGTAATCAAGGTGCCAGATAGTGTACCTTGACTGCAAATGTGCCTGTAGGAAGTTTGGTTGTCAAGAGTTCCCTAAGCCTCCTGACAGCCTTCACTTTGTTTGCTAGGACATCAAGCAGAGGGATGAGTTCATCTGTCTTCAGAGGGAAATCCGGTGTCAGCCACAACACTGGTCTTAACCCCTTCTTGTACTCGCTTTCATGTTTTAGAGACTCAGCAGATGAACCGCCCTGCTTCTTCTTCCCGCTGCCCTTCTCCTTTTGCTTCCCTGGGTCACTTGCTTCATCCTTACTCCCCACCTTCGATGGCTTGTCATCACCCTTGGCACCCTTCTTGCCGCCCCAACCGAACCATCCCTTCTTATCTTTGGCCACACCATTCGCATCCATATGATCAGCACCAGCATCACCTTGGTCGCCCCTCTCCTTAGATTCCTCATCGTTGTTCCCCATCCTAAGCGCAGAATCAAGTTGCTTCCTCTCCTCGGCTGTCAACACTTCGTCTAACTCAGCATCAAGCTCCGCACCCTTCCCGTTCTTCTCCTCCCCGTCCATGGCAAACAGCTCCTCGTCCGTCATCGCCCCAGGCACGCGCCTAGACTTCACGGTGACGAGGACATTCAGCATGTCATACACCTTGGCTTTCCAGTGCCCGACGGCTTCTGACCTCTCTTGGCGGCGCCAATTCAAGTGCGGGACAAGCTCCGCCTGTGTGACGTCGATCCCCGGACGGTACATGTTGGTCTTGGACATCAAGGCCACCTCATGCGCCACCTCGGACTCAGTGGGCTGCACGCCCGCCCCCTCCAGCGCATCCGTAATCTCCTTATCCTTGTGCGCCAGCACTATGAGCGAGCCCGGGTGCAGCTCCTTGCCCCCGGCGTCCTCGGGCCTGGCGCCGTCCCCGAGGAAGAGGAACGTCTGGTCCGAGCGCTGGATGCGGAAGCCGTCGAAGCCCGCGAGCGTCATGTCGGCCCGGAGCGAGGCGCCGCGCTTCCAAATGCGGTAGGTGTCGGAGGGCGCGATGCGGCCGATGAAGGGGATGACGGAGGACTCGAAGTGGAAGGAGATCTCCATGTAGAAGTCGCGGATGCGGGAGATGGAGGCGAGGATGCGCGGGAGGCGGCGGCACCACTTGGCCCAGGCGAGCGGCTGGTAGTGGCGCGCGATGATGGTGGCGATGGCCTCCTCGCGGGTGCAGACGGCCTCCTGAAGCGCGGACCAGCCGTCGGCGTTCTGCAGCGACCAGTCAGCTCCCGCGGACATGAGGATGTCGGCGGCGACGGGGTCCCGTAGGCGCACGGCGAGGTGGAGCGGGGTCTCCCTCCGCGGCACGTCGCGGCGGTCGATGACGGCGGAGACGGCGTCCGCCACGGCCTCCCCCGCGATGGACTCCTCCTCGGTGGCCACCTCCCCGGCGCGCGGCAGGCGCGGGAGCGCGGCGACCAGCCGCCGCAGCGCCGCGTGGTCGCGCCGCAGGACGGCCAGGTGCGCTGGGCTGTGCGCGTACTTGGACACGTCGTCCATGGCGGGGGAGCGGGGAGCGGACGTGGCTAGGTCAGGCGGATCTGGGGAGGGAGGGGCATGGGGGCTGCGGGCGTGGCCAGATCTGGCGCGGCGGGAGGCGGACGCTCCTCCGGGTCGCGGCCGCGCGCAGCTCCGGCGCCGGCGCCGGCGTGGTGCGGTGCGGGCGAGGGGCGGACGAGCGGTGGGAGGGTCTCGAGGGGGAGGGCTGTCTGTCTGTGTCTCTCTCGCGCGCGCTGGCTGGCTCGGTCGCCCGGTCGGGACGAAGACGAGACGAGAGGAGAGGAGAGGAGAGGAGGAGGCCACACCGCCACACCCACAGCCACAGGCAGGCAGAGGCAGGCTACTGTGCTGTTCCCCTCGTCCTGGCGCCACCCGCGCGCGCTCTCTCTCTCTCTCTCTGTCTCCACTTTTCCTGTCCTGTGCTGTTCCCCTCGTCCCGTCCCGTTCCGTGCCATGAATTCGGTGACGCTGTTGATGCAAATGATCGGCATCGAGTGGGTTTCACTTGCTTGTACAGCTGCTAAGCAAGATTTCATGATGAGTGATTATCACTCGCTCCTGACAGATTGGATGGTGATGCTCTACGATGCATGCGCGCGCTGGGCAAAACTACAACTGCCAATTTCAGTCTCTTTATATGCCGATGGACAGAGATTATACGTGGACTGAACGTTTGTAAAACATCCCTCAACTGTGGCATTCACTTTCACGCTGCATGGACAGGAACATGCATGCATGCCCAATAGTAAAAAGGAGATGATACCAAGACCGAGCAGAATTTATCTGGTCCGGCGGGCCAGTTGGTTCGGCAACCGGTTCAGAAACTAGAGCACGTCCCCGTCGCCGGTGCCCCGGTGCATCTGATGTTTTCAGCAGCAGCAGCAGCAGGGATCAAAAGGCCATCTTCTTGTTTACTCACTCACTCCCCTCTCTCTTTCTTTGTGAAGTGCTGTGACAGCAAATGCTGGTAAGGCATATATACTCTTATCCACTAGCCCTCTTTTTGATTCTCCATGACCTGTCACTCCTCCACCCCACTTGTGCAATGTAGTGTAAATAAATAAAGAAAGAAAGATCTCCTCGTCGATGTATCCATCAAATATAATGCTCTTTCCTGACCATTTCAGATACGGCCTTCCCCGATATATAATAAGAATAAAGGTCTATTATTTCAATCATCACTAATACTAATAGCTTAAAAAAACTACAGTACTGACTATTAGCTAGCTAGCCAGTATTAATTAACTAATGCTAATAGTCACTTAGCTAATACTCCTCCTAAAACATTTAAAAAAATACTATCGCGAGTCAAGAAAATCCGAAGTTGACTTCACTGATCTCGACGATATTTTCGGCTAGATTTGCCACCTTAGACACGCATCTATAACAAGGAAAAACCTAACCCATCTTGTGTTGTCCTCACACATCAAGCGAAAATTAACAACTAGAGAAATGTATCCACAACTAACAACATGACTGTCGCTGTTACTAGCCAATTAAGCTGCACCAAATCACGCGCTCAACCAGCGTTGAAGTCGCCGGTTGTTCGGCGGTCCGGCGCGGACAAATTCCCCCCAGCCCCGCACGAACCAAACCCGGCGCCATCGAGCGGGTCAACAAGTCACCGGTCGTCGTCGCCGGACGAGCGGGCAAGCTAGGCCGGCAGGTGAGCGGCTGTGCTAGGATCAGGAGGAAGAGACTCCTATCTGATTGGGTTGGTGCCTGCCGAGACGAGTCGCCAACTGCACAGTGCCCGCTGTACGTTCAGGCAGGCAGAGATCGGATGCTTCTGTCCCTGCCGAGATTTAGGATCAGGCAGGCAAGCAGGCACGTACGCGCAGCGGCATTGGGCTGATCTCTTGCTGCAGGACTGGACTGGAGCAGAGCAGGGCGGGCACACCGCACACAGCTGGAGGGAAATGGCGCCATTAGCTCGGCTCTTACTGCTCATGTGCCCCCTTATGCGTCCACGTCAGGCGCACAGTGTTCAGGGGTCAAATTGGCCCATTGTCCTGCATGTAATGGGACCATGATAGTAGTTCCCCCTTTTTTTTCTTTACCGCGTTGAAGAATTCTGGGAAATGCAGGGAAGGGATGCTGTCTCTCCGCTCTCCCTATCTGAAAAAAAAAAAGTTCAGATGCTGCAATATGGCAGCAACAATGTGCAACAACTGCAGATTTGCTGTTCAATATCCTGAAGACCGGCTTGTAGGATGGGCATATATAAACCGATACTGAAATCAGAACCCGATTTACCCGGACTTGACTTCGAATCTGCAAGTTCAGAAGCCCAATTTTAGTTCACGTAATTTGGGTATTAGGTCCCCAATCCGTTTTAACCGAAACAGTGGAACATTATATGCTGTTTAGTATTTGTGTTAGAATTGATTGTGCTATTTTCTAATGTCAATTGTGATGTCATTAGGACCTACTGATCTATGATGTAGTGCTCGTGTTTTTTTTCTCTAAAATGCTATTACAATCTATGGTTTATATTGCTTAAACTTGCAGATATATGGCCCCGTTCGCTGGGTTGAAATGGCTGAAAAAAGTCAAAGCTGAATTATTGTGAGAGAAAAACACTGTTCCGACTGAAAAAAGAAGCTGAACAAGCCGGCTTTTAAGGTAAGCCGAACGGGGCCATAGTTCTACCCTTCTAAATATATTCTTATTGTTTTGTTGATTTCGGATAATTGATAGTTTGGGAATACTCGAATCAAAATCCAAAATTTTGGATACTATTTTCTCGATAAATTATGAGTATTGAAAACCCGACTTTCTTAGAACTTGAGTTACCTGACCTGATTTTTTCGGGTAACCCAAATGTCCACACTCACCGGCTTAGGCTCTCCCAGCCAGCAGTGTAGTATCAGTTCTTCATGCTATGCTGCAACTTGATCTACGGTACGGTAGCCTCCAACTGCGAGATTTGAGATGGGCAGAGAGCAGTGTCAAGATATAAATAAGTTGAGAGACAGGTGCGTGCATGGACCCTCAGCAGTGCATCAGTGCATGGCCACACGCAGTGTCAAGATATAAATAAGTTGAGTGACAGGTGCGTGCATGGACCCTCAGCAGTGCAGCAGTGCATGACCACACGCAGTGTGGCCTGTGGTCCTGTGGCCTGTGGCCTGTGGCTGGTCCCCCCAGTGGCAGTGGTGCTCTCGCCTCAGCTCATGTGACCATGCTCCATGCATGCCTTGGCAAAGCCAGACCCCTCCCTCCTTCCATGATGAGCTGAGGCAGGCAAGCAGGCGAGCTGAGGCGGCGGCGGCTGCTGCTGCTGCTTGTAAACTAATCTGCTGCTTTCCTATCGTGTTAACGTGCGGTAAGGATAGACTCCGAAAGAGCTCCCTGCTGTTGTTGTATTGTAGCCGTAGCAAGGGCAGATGTCGAAAGACTCCATGTCGCACTGTAGCCACAGTAAGAACAGGCACCAAAGTCAGACCTACTGTCACATCTAGTCACTGTAGCACCATGACAGATTGACATGTTTGTGTACTAGGATTAGATGGGTAGAGTTGTATATGTAGTTTTCCGCTGCAACTCAGTAAAGAGAGCGAGTTTAATTTTGTCATCTCCTCTGCAGAGATCCGGCCAACGCTGGTGCTTGTGCTGTGTGTGTCTGCGCTCTGTTCTTCCTCCCTTCTTCTACCTCTAGCCATAGTGTGTGGTCAGCAACGTCGGTTAGCGGTCGGCTCACCCGTGCCGGAGATCCCGGGTCCAACAAGTGGTATCGGAGCCGTACAAGCGCCGTCGTCGGACTAACTGCTGGCGATAACGGACGGTTTGGAGATGGGCGACAGCAGCGGTACTGCTGTGGCTGCCCAGCCACGACAGGAGGTCATCGTGCGCACGGTGTGGGAGGTCAGCGGCACCAGTTGGCCGACGCTTACTCGCACCAACTATGACGAGTGGGCGGTGACCATGAAGGTCAAGCTCAGAGCCCGATGGCTCTGAAATGCCATTGACAAGGACACCAACAACGAAAAAGACGACATGTCAGCGTTGGAGGTTATCCTCGCTGCTGTGCCAGCGGAGTACAGAGAGCCGTTGGAGGCGAAGAACTCTACTAAGGAGGCATGGGAGGCTATTGCAGTGATGCGCGTCGGCTCCGACCGCGCAAAGAAGGCGACGACCCAGCTGCTGAAGCAGGAGTACGCCACCCTCAAGTTCAAGGATGGTGAGTCGGTGGATGATTTCTCCCTCCGCCTGCAGTCACTCATCAGCAAGTTGAGGAGCCACGACGTCACCATCGATGTCGAAAGAATATCGTCGGTAATCCTCCGAGGGGTATCCCACGAAGGTAGATTGATCGACAGAGATACGTGTAATCGAGAACAAGAAGGCAACAAAGACACAAGAATTAGACAGGTTCGGACCGTCAGCGCGACGTAATACCCTACTCCTATGGTCTGTTGGATTGTATTGGCTTCGTATGATATTGCCTGTGTTTTGAGGGGGTCCCTACCCGCCTTATATAGTCTGAGGGTAGGGTTACAAGTCAGTTAGATGTAGAAGATAACTGGAAAGTAATGACAGATTACATAAATCATGGAATCGAACGTATCCTAACATATCTCGTAGTATATTCAGGATATCTTCCCAGTGTCTTGCGGGGTGCGCCGAACAGCGCCGTGCTCCGCAAGGCTTCGTCTTGTGGGCTAGGCCACCCCTGGGGGCGCAACCCATGTAGTCTGTCGTGGATATCTGGGGTCGTACCCCCACAGCTAGTCCCCAGTGCCTTGTATTCACTGTGCAACACCGTCTTGAGCTTGTTCTATCAGGTGTGAACAAAGCCGAGCAGTCAGACTCATAGTCCGACCATCATACTGAGTCGCCGAGCAGTTGTGAACCGTCGTCGAGCAGTGTATCCCAAGTAAGGCTCGCCATAAGGATATAAGGAGCTCACGTTTAAAAACGAAAATTTTCACGCAGTGGACCAAGTGTGCCCACTTAGAGTTCGACCACGAAAAAGGGAGATAGTCTTCTTCAACTTC